CCAATCCTATTAGTCTCAAGTGTTGTTTTCCAGATGGTAAATATTTTAATATTGAAATATGTAAGGAAGATAAGGTTGCCACACTTAAAAAAGGGATTGAAGGTCTGTTGGTAAATCAAGGTCACCAAGAGCTTTCTATTAATTTCAATCTCTACGCAATTATTCCTATGGAATCGACAGCCGAGGTTTCTGAATATTTCAATGCTACTCCAGTCACCAACCTAAATCAAGTTAACCTTCTCATAAAACCAAAGGAATAGCGGAGCTAGTGTCTCTGACACATAATAATTATTTTTTTATTTACGTCTGCAGTATGTAACTGCGATATGTTTTTTTTTTCTTTTTATGTTGTTATTTCGGTAACATTTTTTATATATCAATAAAGTAAGGTTCTATGTAACCATTTGTCTCGATCGAATTGTGTGGATGTCCATGCTTTATTTTTCATCAAAATCACGTGTGCATAAAGAATCTTTACACCGATCACTTTGGCAAGAAAAAATATCTAATGTCGTGTAATATTATGTGATCACTGGATCTTCTCTGTTTTACGAATAAATAAGAGGTATGAATTGTTGTTGTATAAAAATGATTAAGCTTATTTTTTGACATCGAATGAGGGCCTGTGCGTCATATAAGAAATGTCAAAGTTTTAGATTCTACCTATCAAAATAAATACACAAATAATTATGATCGGCAAAGGTAACGGATTGCCCATACTAGATAGATTTTTAATGAGCTGACCGTGTAATTCGAAAAACCAATGATTATTGATAACTTTAATGGCGCGTATCCTTAACAATTGATCATCCGCGCTGGAGAAATTCTGAAATGTACATAAAAACAGCTCGAATTCGAATTCGTATAATTTTTCTACTTCATAACTATAACGTTCAAATAAATATACCTACAAAGTTACTGCAAAGCAATAAAATCTGTTAAATCAATCAAAAAATAAATAAATTAATAAAGCGTCATAAATTAATCAAAACTACATCAAAATTTTCTTTTAAAAACTAGTCATATATTTGTTATTATTATACCAAAGTAAGTGGTTTCTGACTTATATTGATGTATCGATTGTTTTTTATTGAGTATTCCTTTTAATGAGTTTATGCGCTCACATTAATCCCTACAGATGGATACAAATATCTTAGAATATTTCAAACAAACGCCATCAGAAAATTATTTCATTTTTATACCAATCTTGATTGAAAATTCCCAGTTTACCTAATCATTGTAATTGCATGCTTTGCTCTGTATAATTTAAAACGGGAAACCGATATCACTCTTACTTCACTAAAAGATGCGCAGAAACTTCTATCCGAAGACGTTAATCGAAAATTTGATGACCTTACTGAAAAAATTCAATTGCTATACGAAGAGATGCAACAAAAACAAATTTCGGGAGATGCTTCAAGTGAATTGACAAATAGTTCTCAAGGTAAGCGTTTTATTTTTTTTTAAGCCTTTCATGTCAATGATCCAGGGCTAACCGTTTTGTATTTATCTGTTCCAGCTTCGAATCGATCATCATCTTCAAATTCTGAAATTGTGCAAAATTTTAAGAACCTTTTCAATGAAACTATGGAAGAAAACGATCATACTAAATCAGATATGATTAATGAAGTTATAAGTGATCTAAAAAAACAAACAAAAATAAAAGTTATCGGATTCAAGGCTATTGAAAGTTTTTGTAATGAAACAACGAAACCCGATGTCAGAACCATAGGCGCGATAAAGGCTTGGATTGCGTTTAAAACTAAAGAAAAAAATAAAATCATGAATAGTGATGGTAACGACTACAATTCTAACGAAAGAATAGATTATAACAATAATAATAAATAGTTTTTTACCCGGTAGAGCCAAAGTATAGGGGCGTACATTAAATGGTCTAGGGGCCGTACGTTCTCTCCCTTGCAACTCTGCCGTAAGAAATCAATATTATTATTATTATCCATGTATCTTTATTTTATTTCGCTTGATTAAAATCATTAAATAAAATGAATCGAATTCTTATTTTTTGTCTTCTAAAAAATCAAGTTGTACGACATACATAAATATTTGCAATCCGAAATGTAGTGCGACTATATAAATTATACATGTTTATTTACACGATTAACCAAATTCGATTAATTACCTCATGTACATACTTTTTCTTTGGCTAATTGATTATTCTTTTTTAGGCTTCAGACACGTGCGACTATATTCGTTCTTCATTAAAGATCAATCTTTTAGTATGATATATTCTCTTATATTTTTTGCTTCAAAGAGATCTGAATTCAATATAAATTTATAAATATAGAATGTAGAGAAACCATGGCTTGTAAATGTAACGAAAAATGAAATGCATACGGTTTGTACTTAGGAATAACGATTGTTTCTTTCATAATTACTCTTAATGATACACTAATATGCGTGAATTAGTTTGTATTAAAGACATTCAGGAGATGAGAAGACCATGTGGGAAAGTATTGAGAATTTTGAATATGATGACTATAGATTAATCTGTATAACGCGTAGAAATTCTGTATGTCATAATTTATTTGTGCGACATTCCCCTATAAACCATCTTGTAATATGTAAACCATTTTTAAAATAATTAATAATCATCTTTATTCCTTAAAAATTCACCATAATATTAATATTAATATATCTATCTATTACTATACATTCCGAAAATTTTTTCCTGTCTGGTATAACTGATTGATCTCTTGTGTGCATAATAATAATAATTTTTTTTGCTCCTGACAAACCTTCCGTCACAGTGGCCTTCGATCGTAATTTTGCGCCAATTTATTTAAAGTTAAGTAAAGTTTTTTGTATTATGTTCTTGCAACCCGGCGTTTCCCCGTCCTGTAAAGCCCAAGGAGATACGTCTGCCTTTGGTATGTGAAGTTGAAACGGATGAATATCGGCTTTCGAAAGATGTGTAAGGTTCTGGCTCTTATACCTAGCGTTCCCCGTCCTGTGAGACCTGAGGAGGTACGCCTGCCTCTGTGCTTGTGAAGTCGAACGGCTAAAATAGCAACAGACTTTTATTATGCTGTTATTTTAGCGATCTTACATTATCTGGAGAGGGTTTCGGGTTGAATTAAAGTTGTGATTAACAGAAATTTTATTAAAAAACTTTTACTAATTAATTCCTTTTTGTATTATTTCTTTGAAGATCAGCATCATGGTTTGTATCAATATAATTGATAGGCATTAACTGTTATTGAATTGATTCGCGACACTAACATATTACTGTCATTTTTACATGCAGGATTATGTCGAAGTTCTAAAAAAAATTTTATTAACAAAATCAACCAATTTTAATGCCACTACATTTTATAAAAAGGCTGATTTTCCATATAGTCTAAAGAAACAGGCGGAGGAAGCCTTATTTAATGCATTAAGATCTATTGAATCTGAAAATGGTCAAGGTGCTATAATTGCTCAAAGGCTACTTGCTCATTTTAACGATATTGTCAACTCTCCCATTGTACTACGCTTTTGGGATTCCGTTCGTGTTCGAGAAGAAAAAAATAGCACTCAAACTGCTCAAGTTATATTACAAGAAAAAGAAGTCAGTTATCTACATTCTAAATAAGTTTAGTAAAGTTATTATTATTAACTTGTTTTTTTGCAAACTATCTAGGAACAAAATGCTTGTCAAATAAGGACTAATTTGTTGGATGAGCGTATTCAAGTATTGGCAAGAAAAAGAGACAATTCGAATTTGAATGATTTTGAAGAAGGATCATCAACTCCACCAAATAAAGTTAGTATATATTTTAAATCTGAATGGCAAAAACATCTTTTAACCATTTGGTTACCTTTGAATCTATAGATCAGGGCCACAGATATAACAGAAGTGGGAAAAAATAACGATTCATCATCCAGTTTTGGAGTATTGTCTAGTGATAAAGAAAATTTTTCTGTTCCGCCTACAAATGTCTTCTCTGATCAAGAACTACATGAAAATGAAAATACTTACATAAAAGATATTCAGTCATCTCATGAGTGAGGTAGGAACGTTTATTTGTACAACTGTAATATGATGGTGTACTTTATCTGATCTATGTTTTACTTTACAGAATACAACAGTTGAACTCTATAAAATAATTGAAAAAATAAATAAATCTGATTATCGCCTCTTTCAGTATCAGATCATTAATTTATCTGACAGAAATGCTTCGAGCCCTGTACAAAAAATATTGACAAAAGCTGATAAACAGTTATTAAAAACAATTTGGGACTCAGTATGTGTTTTCTGATTGTACACCGATACTTCAAGTTTAAATTTGAGAGGTTCTAATATTATTATTTACTCTCCTTAGCTAGAGCCATCGAAAGAAAATCACAAGACAATCCGCCAGGAGAAATGGAATGCAGTCATAAAACCTCTCGTGAAAAAGTATCAAAAAAACTTAGTGCCAAAATCTGTATTTGATGATTTTCCTTTGGATCTTGCAATTGAAGAAATTACCGAGAGACCATATACAGGAACATTCAACTATAGAGAACATCACGACTCATTATGGGTTCAAGATCTATACAAGCGATTGTATGTAATAAGAGTGTAATTACTGATGCATAATGTATTTAATGTATTCTAATATTTTTTTTTTTAGTTTATTTATCTTTAAAGCGCCTGTTAATGCACTATTAGACCCTAATCAAGTAGAACTATCGTATAGAGAAAATTTCATTAACCCAATTGTTGCAAAATTGTTTGATGACATAATGGATATTATTCGAGTAAAAACGTGGGTTTGGCGTTTTTTATCATCATTTATCAGAATTTATTAATATCTAACAAATTTGTATATCTAAACTTACTTACAGTGGAGAGATCGAAAATATGTTAAATAAAATCCAATGAAATGAAACTCGCCAGTATGTGCAACGAGTTAGTATTGGATGCCATCAAGATGGTATTTTTGAAGTAAACGTCAATGCAATGACTTTTGAAATAGGTTTTTTCGAAGTGGTTGGTAATGCTCTTATTGTTGATATCACAAAGTTAAATGGTGATCTTGATAAAGTATTAAAAGGCAAGTTAGTTACCATGCCGTTTAATGATCTATTGTCATAATTTTATCTTATATGACATTATCTGATAGCAATGCAGATCTCACTGTTTTATCAACGACAACATCATACCCAACGTGGTGCTACTGGAGATCAACTTGTTTGTCTAGAATCGTATGGGATAATCGTTTACTGTAAGCAATATGAATTTAATGTTTGATATTATATTATTAAGAGTTTCTAATTTTATTTTGATCAACTTTAGAACGAACTTTTACTATTTATGTTATGCATAATATACATGGAGGGCTTTACATTGTAGATAAATTAACGGAATTTTGTATTCCAAATTCCAAAAATCAACTATATGCACTAGAAGAAGTCATCGAGAAAGTCTATATGTTAAAGGTATTAGATTTTGACACTGCTAGTTTAACACATCTAATGCATTGTTTTAATATACTCATAACCTCATCTTTGAAATACAACAGAGCCGAATCATGGATTATTATTTAAAAATCCAAAAGATAACGCCTAACTATGTTCAAACCCATATCAATACAACAGAGTCACCGGTTGAAGCATCGCCATCTAAGAATTCTAAAGTTACTAATAGATAACAGTATTAGATTCGCTCATAAGTTGTAATTTGCTTATTTGATAATGTTCGCATTTTTGATCGGAGTAATAATTAAATAATAATGCATATGTTTGAAAGAAAAAATACTGTGCCATTGTCATATGACATTGTGATTCTTTCAAGTTTATTCAATAAGACCTAATTCTCTGAAATAACTACATATGGGTCTTCGTAATACCAAACATACCTTAAAACAATCCAGTTCTCTTCACATAATTCTTTCTTGAGTTGATCCCGCTCTTGCTGTTTGATAAAATTTTTTGGATTCCTGTGAAAGAGCTCGATATATTTTTCATCTTGTTGTCCCTGTACTTCTATAGCAAAAACATAGTCCTAATAAGGAATATCAAGTTGTAATCCAGTCGGATGTTCTGGTATTTTTAAAAAATCTGGTTTGCGATTTTCAGATTGTGGTCCAAGATACTTATAATTTTACGGCATAAATTTTCACATTTATATTTTGAGCAATAGAGACACCATGTATCACAATTTTTATATTCGGTCGAAAGGCAGTTCCATTCCTATTATATCCAACATGTTTGGCATCTTCAAGAGTATACATTCAATTATTTCATAACTACATTTATATACTTGAAAAAGCAGATCTCTGAAGATCAAGGCTAATCAACTTACTTCAAATCTATGGCAAAATAAATTACTTAGGCAATTGTTTATGAAGTATTAGTAATAATAATAATTCTGTATTCAATACAAATGTTGTTACACAATAATTATATATCAAAAGGACCAAAAAATTCTACATCCCCCATTATAAGCTTTTTTTCTTTAAATACAATGTACAAAAAAAATATATATCAATAATATTTGAGATTTTTACATATATATATTCCAAGAAAAATTATGTAGTGGAACAAAGGCATAATACAACTTTTCGTGCAAAGTTATCGAATTGGACATTTTTGTGTCAATTTTCCCCTGCCGATCACTATGTACAACTCACTCATTCATAGACAGATCGTCAATTAAAACCTTTATTTATTCATAAACATCAGACCCCAAGACCATTAAGAGGAGTTGATAAAAGCACATTGCCTGTTGATTATTATTAGAACAGTAAGGCATGGATGCAACTTATGGAATGATTACCTAAAAAATTTGAATAATAAAATGCATCTTAAAAATAGAAATATATTGTTGCTTGTTGATAATACCCCAACTCATAATTTAATGGATAATTTCAAGTTAACAAATGTAAAACTTCATTACCTTCCTCCAAATATAACTGCACACCTACAACCATGTGATGCTGGAATAATTCATAGTTTCAAGGTTTGTAAATTTCTTAGTTTCAATATTAATATTAAATTACATTGATGTTAATAATTAATAAATTGCAGGCAAACTATAGAATATTATTACTTAAAAGAAAATTAAAAATTATGATCTAGCACAAACTGTTACAGATCCAAAACCAATTGATATCAAAAAAGCAATAGATTATGTTGCTAAGTCCTAGAATAGTGTAACATCAACAACTATTTTTAATTGTTGGAAAAAAACTGGGATTATTCCTTTATCAGATGTGGAAACTATCCAACAAAGAAATAGAAAATTCTATAAATATAATAGAAGATATTTCAAACAACCAAAATAATGAAATCAGAATTTTAATCAATATATTGCAATTTACTTCGCCATTAGCAGCAGAAGAATATATTTCAATAGATAATGAGGTGGGAAGACAATGAAATGATAATTGAAGAAGAAATTATTGCTTCATTTATTCCAGCAGCAGAAGAAGAAACTGATAAAAGTAGTACATCCACATCTAAAACTAAAGTTTCGAGTAGTGATGCTACTGCTGCCATTGAAACAATGTATGATTTTCTTCAACAAGGTGATATTGAAATTGATTACAACAAAACTAAAATTCTTAAATCATTAAAAAGAAAATTGGGACTATTAAGAATTAAAAACAAGCACAAATTAGCATTAAATCATTTTTCAAATAAAAATTTTTTTACATTTTGTCATTATCATATTTATGTTGGTATTATTATATTTATGTTTATTTTATAAATTTTTTTTTTGTATGGTGCGGGACCTTTTAAACCACCAATTCTGTATGTGATTTTAAAAGAACAGAAGTTCATTTCTGTATACATATCATTTTTAAAAAAATAGCTCTGTTATGACATAGATTAGTACCCAAGCTGAGAGTTTTTTTCAAAATATTGATGGTTGTTGAGTTCTATTCTTTTTTAGTATATATATTTTACTATGTTCGCAAAGAATCAGTGTTGGAAATTGAGTGCTGGGGTTTGTGTTACATATTGACTTTAGCCAATCAAATTTGTTCTTCTGGTAGAAATTTTAACGTTGATTGGCTAAATTCAATATGTAACACAAACCCCAGCACTCAATTTCCAACACTGCGAAGAATTGGCCGCTTAAATTTGTGCGGAAATTAGACATCTACAGATCCTTTTTTAATGTTAAAAATTCTGATCAGTTAAAAAATTGTGTAACAGTAACAATATTTTTTTATATTATTGCATTTTATATATACAGTGCGGATCATCTATACTCAAAAGTTAAAAATTTTGCTCAGAAGTACAACAATCATTTTCGTGTTACAATATTTTGAATCTCACGACCAAATTCGGTAATGATTTTTTTTAATGTAATATGTTCGTTAAACTTTTTTGTTGTAAAGAACCTTTATTTATTAATAAAAGAAAGGAAATAAATAAATCAAACAAATCAAATGTATGTTGTAGAAAATATTCTATATAAAAAAGTTGTTACACGAAATTTACTTAGTCTCAATTTCTTAAATGTATAACAAAATTCGGAATTTTCAGAATGCTAAGGCTCTGCCAATTTTCAGTTTAAGAAAAAACCGGCCGATAAGTTTTGAAGCTTGAGTCATGAACAATAAACTTATCAGTTAAATTTTTTAAAATGATATAATTTTAGTATTTTAAAGTTGACCAATTGTTACTATAAGTGATTAATGATTATAGACGATCTGCACCGTAGATAAACGAAAAATTTTGGCCATGAGGCGCAGTAAATGGCGGTTTAAGAGGTCCCGCACCATTAAAAAAAGGGTTGTTACACGATAAAAATCATAGATCCCGATCGTCACGATGAATATAAGTTGTCAGTACTAGGGCTGGAAATAATAATAGGGTCTGAAAAAAAAAACGGAAATTTCTCCCAAATATGAATCCTAAAAATTTTTGGGTGCAATTTAAGAATTTTCTTTATTTTATTCTTCTGTTTTTTTACTAAGAGCATCACTAAAACCATAATAGAGGCCTGCATGGGTCATCATAATTGAATGATTACCCAACCCGAACCCGACTTGTATACAAGAAATTTCAATCCAAACCCGAACTCAACCTGTTTTTTAACAATGCTGTAGCACGATTTTATTTAAAAAATAACTTTTATTGCAATTGTTAGTTACAAGAAAGAAAATTTTACTATGATGAGCTTCTTAATACAAGAATACTATCAATTGTTTGTGTATTTAAATTTGAGCGAAGCTCATTAACTGCAAGTCCAGCTGCACTAAACTCTCTTTCACTAGATGCACTGGAACATATAATGGGCAGCAAGCCTTGAAAGTCTTGGATAAACATGTTGATGGTCTTTCTACCATTCTAAAATATTAAAGTTATCATCTTTTTGTATTTTTGTTGATAAATACAAATCAACTTCATCTTTGTCATCATCTTCATCATCACTATCATCATAATATTTACTAAAATCACCTAACTCTACATTTGAATTTGAAGTTGAAATTGTAGTTGATAATATTGCTTGCATGCAATTATCATCATCATCATTATTACTGTCAGCACCAACACCATCATCATTAATTGTTAGATTATCACATTGTCTTTTAATTTCATTTTTTACCCAGGTGGAATCACCAGACTCCAATATTTTTAATTTTTTCATAAGAGGATTGAAAAAAATGGCTAATTTATGTAATTCATGAATCTTAATTTTTTCAATTAATTTTTCAGCAACTACTAGTTTTATTTTTTTTGTAATTTCATTATCAGAAGTTATCACTTGACAATGATCTAATAAAGCTTTGTACCAAGGTATTACTAGATGTAGTGTTGGTTGTTTTGAACCTTCTAAACAAAGACTTGCTACTTGAAATTTTTTTAAAAAATTTACTAAATCACTTAATATTTGTACATCAATTCCTTCAATTCTTTCCAGCTCATCTTGATCCAAAAGAAGATTATAAATATCTTCAAATTGACTGGAGACAGATTCAAGCATTTCTAACTTACTGTTCCAACGTGTATCAGTGTGTTGTTTTAATGTTTTGTTGAGTTGTGATAATAAAGTGCTCTTTTTGAAATATTTAACTAATGATTTACATTTATTTATTGTAATAATTACAGAAGGAAATTCTTGGAAATTGTTTCCTTGAAGGAGGCAACTAAAACAGTGTTAATTCTATATAAATATAAATAAATATAAATTATTAATAAATAAATTAACAAACATTAATTTAAATAGTAAATTTTTTTTTTATTATGGCCCATATCAATGAAACAATTACATTAGATTTAAAACAAATAATATATCTAATATTGTCATAACAAAATGTCTATTTTCTTTTAATTTATAATTTAAATAAATAAAGTAATACATACCTGTGAGCTATACATGATAAATGCTTATAATTTTGAAAAGCTGCCACAAAGTTTGCACCAGAATCTGTTACAAAAGCATATCTTTTTATTTTACTTTCAGGTTGAAGATTATACCCTCTTAATAATGAAAAAATAGTTCTTTGTATAATATCTGATGTATGGCTAATTTCTGGAAATTTAGATACAGCAAGTACATATACTTTTAAATCCCAATTATCAATGAAGTGCACTGTCAAAGAAATATAACTAATTTTCCTATAATTATCTGTCCAACAATCTGTGGTAAAAGCTCCACCAGAAATTCGAAAAAATTCCAATAAACTTTCTGCCAAAGCTGATTTAACTAACTCTGCCTCCTTTAATGTGTTTCTGGAAATTGTGGTTGGATGTGGAAGTAATTCTTCAATGGATACATTTCCATAAATTGATCCAATCTTAATAAATTCTTGTGCCAATTCTTGAAACCCTAAACCCACAATCGTTTCAAATGGATGTAAATCTTTACAAACAAAATTAACTATTTTTTTTGTTGTATTGTTGGCTTGGTCTAAAGACCTCCTAATGCTGCGTCACATGCTCATTTCAAAAATTGCAATTTCGTGATTCGTTCAAAAATGCAATAAAATTTTTTAAAAAAGGATTACCCGTGATTTTGGTTAAAAAACTATTTTTCTTACTGCTAAATTTAGATATGATGGTCGAGTATTAGGCTAAATTTGGTATGATAATCAAAACTAGTCTAAATTTAGCAAATATCCTAGTGCTCAAATTTCTCATGAGCATGGTAAAGTACATGTTTTAAAAAAGAATAGAACTCTACAATAAATAATTTTTTGGAGAAAATCTCTTCATTACATTAAAAGTAGAAACCTATTTTACCAACTAATGAGGCTATTTTTTTAAAAGGTAGGACAGAAAATGACTTCTATACTTTTAAAATTTGCCCAAAATTTAGGAAGTCTTTAGACCGAGCCAACTATATCTTCTTTGACTTTTGTAGGAATTACTTTCTTTGTTAAAAAAGATGTGATATTTCTTTGTTTACTTGTTGAGCTACTACAAACATGACGTATTAAATTAGAAGTCCCTTCTTTTGAATTATATTTAAATAAATGCTGACAATTCTTACAAATAACATAACCAAACATCACTTTTTCTGCCAATTTTATTTTTACATAATAATTCTCCAGCCAGTATTTTTGATGATATTTGGCTTGTGGATAATGTATTTGACATTGATTTGAAAAAGTGTGAAATGTATATTTAATTTGAAAATATAAAAACTTATTATCATAAATTTATTATCATTAAAAAAAACTTATTATCATTAAAAATTTATATTAAAAATTTATAAAAAAAAAATTATATTTATTAATATATATATATTAAAGATTTTTTTTTTTTTGCCAAGAAATTATTTAAATTCGGGTCAAGTTCGGGTCATTAATTGTTGTAAGTTACAACCCGCAGTTATTTGACATCAAGACCAAACCCGCCCAACCCGATGCAGGCCTCTACAGCAGACTATTCTGGAATCGAATCCCGATATGGAAATATCCCTGACTGTATTATTTTTATTGGCATCATCATCAAATAATTCTGAATATTTATCATGGGATTTGTTCTCATTTGATATCTTTTTTAATTCTTCCACACCAGCATATATGCCTTTAGGTTTGATTGATTCTCCGATTTGTTTTAACTCACTATTATTTAACTAAAAATATCTGATTTAAATATTAGAAAGCTTTGTGGTATTGTAACAACTGAATTACTCACTTTTCCCAAAGACTTCAAGCAATTCTCAACTGATGACTCCAATATAGTCCAATTATATTCTGAATGTTTAAGGTTGAGTGCATTAGAAACATATTTTTATTGGCATCATCATCAAATAATTCTGAATATTTATCATGGGATTTGTTCTCATTTGATATCTTTTTTAATTCTTCCACACCAGCATATATGCCTTTAGGTTTGATTGATTCTCCGATTTGTTTTAACTCACTATTATTTAACTAAAAATATCTGATTTAAATATTAGAAAGCTTTGTGGTATTGTAACAACTGAATTACTCACTTTTCCCAAAGACTTCAAGCAATTCTCAACTGATGACTCCAATATAGTCCAATTATATTCTGAATGTTTAAGGTTGAGTGCATTAGAAACATGATGATCTTTTAAGTTGAGAAATTCTTTTGATGTGAGTACATCAGGGACAAAGCTTGTGTGTGTACTATCCACTATCCTCACCAAATAAATCTTGTTTTTAAAAAATAATTAATTGGGATTTAATGAAAAAAAATAAACAAACAATCAATCATATCTTAAGCGCTTGCTTTGTTGACAATTTGATCCTTTGCTCTTCATCTTTCTCTGAATATAATTTTTCATGATAACTCATAATTTTTTTTAACCAACTAGGAACTTCTGATTCCAATTCCCAAAATTTAGTTTCATTTGATATATATACCATTATCATCTTCAGAGTTTGTGATTAATTTGGTTATCATTATATTTTAATTCTTCAAAAGAAACTTCGATCTATGTTTAGAAAAAAAGTTTGAAATGAAAATAAATTCATTATTGCATGTTGTTGAAAATAATTTACTTACATCACTTCCTTTCTGTTGTAATGTTGGTAGTGGAGTTACCCATTCTGCATGTCTAATAAAAGTTTTAATCTAATTTCCAAGCATATAAATTGATTCATTCAAAAAAACAACATAATTTTTTTCACAACTTACTGGTTAGAGCATTTATAATTATCTGTTTTGTCAAAATCCACCAATTTATGGTCGCCATTAATACTTGAAAAATAAATATGAATTAATAATAGAAAACAAAGAGCAGAATCAACAGAATAATGTTATATTACTATTACATTATCACTACATAAGAGTCAACACGTACCCTCTAGATACTTGCTTATGTTTTGTATGATTGCTCTCTAAATCGCCATTTTGTAGGGTTAGCTTCTGCTTTACTAGTTGATTAGTTACTTCGTGGAAAGCTTCAATTCGAGAAAGTCCATTAAGAGATATGACATCCTAGAATATTTACAGGTAACAATTGTTTTAAAGAACCTAATATTGAACATTAAATAATAATTTATTGAAATGAATTCTCACATTATTGTTTTCTTTATTATTGTTTTTTTCATTTACACTAAGTTTATAATTACAGGGTGTTAAGAAAAAAACGGCGGTTGATAAAAATATTGTTTTTAATAAAAAAGTAGCCAAAATTATATGATAAAAATTACAACAGAGAATCGGAGGATCTTAGATTATAACATATGAAATTTTTGAAGCATGTTAATATGTAGGCTTTAGAGCAATTATTGAAGAAATTTACACATTAAATTGTTTTTTTCAAAATAATCAAATTCCTTTTATTTCCAATTGACAAAATTCTAGAAAATCTGGAAGTATGAAAGTTTATATATATAATCTCCAGAACTTTCATTACACACCGGTATAATTTTTTGTATGATTATTATGTATATTTTTGTGTCAGGCTTATTATTAAAAATTTCCGTGTTAAAATTTCAGAGACAAAAATTTTGCAAAGTTTTAAAAAAAAGATATGAATTAGCTTTACAGAAAATTGGCAATAGCATATCATGTCTATTTTTTTTATTTAACAAGGTAATTTGATATACTTTCAAACGAATCTAAATTTATTTAATTATGATATGTAATTGTTGAGATATGCAATTTTTTGTCACCGCCATTTTTTTCTTAACACACTGTAACTATAGTGCATGATGCCAATTTTTCAAAAAAACTAGAGTGGTGGCGATAACCACAAAGCAAATCTGGTGCAATAAATGCGTAAGTGTTTATCGTAAGAATGGTGGTGATAGGTTACTTTTTTTGATTTGATTTGCTTTGGGCATTTTTTTTTTGTAAAAAGAAAAAAAGAAAATAGAAATAAAGAATTCATTGATCGACAGCGCGTACTAATTATTTATGTATGGACCCCTGTTTTTTATTTATTTTTTTGACAGATGACAAAACGCGAGTGATGTTGTTTGGCATGATTGGTTCTAAAGAGAAACATGTTAATAACTAACCAGAGGTAACTTTATTTTAATTTGTATTGATATGTCTTTTATTTTATATTATGTATTATTATCCCCCACCCCTAAAATATTAGCTAATATATGTCAGCGCCCAACTTCAAAATGTTTCATGTTTTATTTACATTACTGGCTTGACAATGCTACATCAGAAAGTGAATACTCCCTTTCATATCGTTGAACATAATTTCAAAATGCCTTAAAGAATGAGTACTATTGAACATAAGCAGGATAATGGCTGTCTGATCCAAGGTTTCATATACTTTTTTATCAAAAATAATCGCATTTCTTTTATTTGTAATTGATAAAAGTTCTAGAAAATATAGAAGCATGTGATTTTATATGCGAAATCTTCAGAATTTAAGTATCGAGAGTTGGTTGTAATTTCTTATTAGCCAGTTAAAAATCCTCTATAACGTGCGTGATCTTGGCCGATCTTATTTACGGAGATCATTCCTTAAAACCAAATTAATTCTTTAAAAAAAAAAAATGGTTTGTAATTGTGTTAATTGTATTTTAAAAGTTGTTTGAATTATAGTTATTAGTTATTAATCAACTTGATATTTCTTTATTTATCTAAAGGTTAATTTATCACTTTATACAACTACAGCAGTGGTACTTCTTGATGGAGACGGCAATAGGATTCTAGCAAAATATTATGGTAGTAAGAATGCATATCCTACAAATAAAGAACAAAAGGTATTTGAGAAGGGATTATTTGATAAAACTAAAAGATCAAACGGTAAATAATTTATAATTTCATAATGATTTTTTATCATAAAAAAAAAAAAAAATCATAACTTACAAATTAAAAATTGAAATTTTTTTATAGGGGAAAGTATTTTATATGACAATCATGTAGTTCTTTATCGTAATAACATTGATGTGTTTTTCTATGTTGTTGGATCAGCTGATGAAAATGAACTCATTTTGAATAGTATTTTAAATGCATTCTACGATTCAATTTCCAATTTATTAAGGTAAAATTACAATTAATTAATTAATTAATCAATTATCATTGACAACAACAATAATGACAACGATAATTACTATTGTTATTATTATTATAATTATTTGTGGTAGACATCAAGTAGAAAAAAGAACAATTATTGATAATTTAGATTTGGTTGTTCTCGCCTTGGACGAAACTATTGATGATGGGTAATTAGAGAGAGAGAATTTAATTTAATCAATTCTCAATCTAATCCTTAAATACAATTTAATAACATATCATTTATAATATTATAGTATTGTATTAGAGACAGAATCGAATGTTATTGTTTCTCGCGTTTCTAGACCTCGTACTGAATCATCGGATATTCCAATAACAGAACAAACAATTATTCAAGCATATCATACAGCCAGAGAAAGAGTTACTGAACGTTTAATGAGAGGGGTTTAGAGACATATACATATATATTATATTTTTACATATTTATATAGATGTATTTATTTATATTATTATAATAACTACAAGATTTTGTATTAGTGACTACCATGAGTGGTTGAATTTGATTCATCTTATGATTATGATAATAATAATGAATTTTCATAGACTAATGATTCCTTTCTTTTCACCAAAGATGATGATGACACGTTTTCATTGAAAATTAATTGTTTCTTTTCATTTACTAATTAATGACAATGATGTGGAGTCTCCTCCCTATTGTTTCAGTAGCAAGTCTGAACGCATGTCTAAAATCAATGGAAATTTACCACCGAGAATTCCTTCCCGATAAAGAGGATTATGCATTTCCATTTCCCAAGAGACTCATTTCAATCTTGTTCAATGGTTTTTATATAACTACTGATTTAGTTGGTTGGCTGTATCACTCATTATTGAATTCTTCATCTGTTACTTCTTCCACTATTGATTCAATATTTTTTTACGAAAAGATGTATTGTCATTGTTATTATTATTATTATTAAAATAATCAGAAATCCTGCAAATTGACTTTGATAATTTTTAGTTGGTTGATGAATGATTTTCCATTTTAATTAATTTTAATTCATGATGTACATCTTCCAACAGCAACAATAATTGTTTATCTTTTTAGTAGATGATGATGGTGATGTTGGTGATGTTGATTATGGACCAATATCAACGACATACAAGGAATCCCAAAATTATATCATAAAGTTTAATCTTTATTGTTCTAATGGTTGTCGTTCTAAAATTACAATGTGGTATTAATTTATGACTTTAGACATTTGATAAACACTTTTTTTCCTTGGACTCAACTTAATAGTAATAATAATATATTAATAATGGTTGTCGTTATAAATTATTACTATAACGCTACTTCTTTATAAAACTTTCACTATTCATATTTTTCATCCCTTCTATCACCATTGTTATTTGTTGTTCTAGAATTAATTGTCTAATCCATCATCCTGTTTTAGAAGCAATTGTAATTTATTAATCATATGATATATAATATACGTACATGTGACATAACAGAATGACAGATAAACTTTAATTCGAGAAAAAATGACAACAGCTTGCTAGGCCAACTTTTGATCATGCTAGAGGAAACGATAATAAGGCACCAACTTTTCAATATAGTTCTAGGGATCTTTCTGCTCATATCAACTTAAATATAAAATAGTGTCCCATGTCGCAATCCAAAAAAGGAAACAAAATGGTCGTAAAGACGGTTGCAATCATTTTTATATGACGTAAAGATGGTAGCAACCATCATCAAAAGTTGCAGCCGGTATCCTTAATATCAAAATTGCCTTCATTTTCAAATTATTGTTTTTCAATGTGGATTTTAATATATATATATATATAGACAAACAGGACAACCTACACAAGATGTACTTGAAAGTATAGATCTTTAAAGAAGAACTTTTTAAAAGCAGAGAAAGGTCATTTTGAAAATAAACAACATTCAGAAAAAAACATAGTAATGACGACGATCAATCAATAAAAACGAAGAAAATTTTTATTAGACTCGACTACACAATTAATAGATGCAGACGATGATGACAGTGATAGAAAGATAGTGATGAAAGGTGTGAGGATTTCTTCTTTAAAAAAGTGATCATATATATAGTAGAGTGATTAATTGATCAATATTTGTTTATTCATTAGTAAAGATTTTAATGTGGTAAAATTTAATTTTAAGAGACACACACACACACAGAAAAACATAATATGATATAATTACCAATAATACTTGCTGTCGTTGTTGTTGTCGTTGTTTAGGTGGGATGATGATGTTATTTCTAGGAAATCAGTTGAGGATAACCCTAAAGACCGATTTATCAATGATACACTTGGAAGTGATTTTCATCGTAAATTTATGAAAAAATAAATAAATGAGTTTTTATTTTATAATATATAATATAATAACTGGCAACTGAAGATTATAAATAATAGTTATTGCTATTAGATGATGAAAATAGATTAGGTAATATTAGATTAGATTAGATTAGATTGTTGAATGAATTATTTATTTATTTAACAAATAATTATTAAAATACATGCAAATACTACTTTTTATTAAAGTAGTAATTATGTTCTTCTGAATGCACCATTTACAGTGTTTTGTAAGGTCATCTGTAATGTTGATGTCAGAGTGTTTGCTATATTTGCACCTAAATCTCTTGCGGCTGCACCAGCACCACTTCCAGCAATTGTTGCCATTGTACCCGTTGTGCGTCTCTTTAATTTTTTGGCTTCACTAACTGCTCCGACAATCTCTTGAATATTTGTCTCCAAAACCTAAACACATCAATCATTTAATGTGATTGATTGTGTGAGTGAACAGATGACAATTTAAAAAAATAATTTAATGAAATGCATCTGTATAATATATTAATTACCATTCCACCTGAGATTAATTCTGAAAGTATATTATGAACCTAATTATTAAATTCTTTTAATGTGATGATAATAATAACATAATCGCCATATTTATTATTTTTTTTCAGTTACCTCCTCAAAATGAAATATCTATATTTGATTAAGTAAATGAATGAAACAATAATGTACAAGTTTAATGAATGAAATTATATGTCGTTATGTTTAATAAAATACTAACCAAATCAAGTTCACAAACATTTTCAAAACATTTATCTAAACTTTCCACAAAAACCTTAAATAAAAAATAAACCCATAAATATCTTTAGATCCCAATCCCAAGAAATATCATGATTAATATATCTATTTATTTATTGATTGATTGACTGATCGATTGGTTGATTTACCTGAATTAAATCCAATATTCCCAATTCACTTTCACATTCATCTACGACAAACACAAAATATAAAGTAGCATAATGTCTATAAATAACACGTGTATCTTTACCACCCAGCATTTGGCTACCATCAAGAAAATTACATGCTGTGTCTGGTCTTTTTGATACTAACGAATAAATTTCTAGTAATAATGCTTGTTGAGTCGCAATGTCCTTTAGTTATTATTTCGAAAAATTAAATTGGTCAATTTTACACTTTTTGGATTCTAACTGAACTCATTTGAATTTGAATTGAACTCGTTAAAACAACTTACTATTTGTTGATAAAATTTAGTAATTCTAGGCTTCCCTTGTTTATTAAATATTAAAACTGATTTAATCATTATTTTTTATTTTTTTTTAACAAAATATTTTAGAGGAAATAAATTATGTGTAACCTCGAAAATTCCCAGACCCTATTACTAATAGAAATTTCCAGGTTCATGTTTTTTTTCTGGCGGCAAAATAAACCAGCACTTTTCGATGTTTTAGTAAATTAATTCTTTCTAGAAGAAATTCGAAATCCACCTTTGACTATGGTTGATCAAACTCATTACCTATTTAGGCCATCTAAATTAGCCATTTCTTTAAATCTAATATTTGGGGCATGCTTGCAACAAAACCAGACAAAGTGAATTAGTATTACCAAGAATTTCAGGGATCAAAATTTGGTAACGTGATTATTAAAACCTTCCATTTGTTATCCTTTTAATATTGGGTGATATATAGAATTACTTCTATATAACAATAGTTAATTGAAACTCATTTACATCAGAACTACTATGGAACCCAAGAATTACAGTACCATTAGAAGTATTTTGAAAAAAGAACAAGGTGAAAAAATCGCACCTTACATTTTCAAAATAAATGATACTCAGAAACTTGAAACTTATCTAAGAAAAGAAAGGATTACCTGATATAATCTTATTGGAACAAGGTTAGTCTTGGAAAAACCATTACCAAAGTGGCCAAACTTGTCTTGAAGAAGTTAAAAATCCTCTTGGATATTTGAAAACTAATGTCTATACCATACATATAATACTACAATGTTTTAGAGGTCCATAATTTACTTGAAATAGTTCTAACAGTCAGATTTCTTGAAATCATTGTAATTCCAAGGTTGGTTAAAAAACTTGTTCCTTTTCCTGAATAAGGTTTCTGGTCGAAACTGCTTCTATTAGTAGCCGAAATTGCCCAAATACTTTGGGCAAAAATTATTTTTTTATAAGCCCAAACTACTTTTTGTTATTAGCCGAAATTGGGTGAAATTATTTTAAAGTTGTTTAAGTTAAAACAAGTTGATTCATATAGTTTTTTAATGTTCATGCTTATAAAAAATGTTGAGAAGCCCAAATTGCCCAAACTAGTTTGGGCTTTGAGAAAACAGTTTGGACCAGAAACCTTATTCCTGAAGGTAATGTTATATCAAAATCTGCTATAGCTATGGGAAACAAAGTACAAATTTTCAGATGTATGTTACCATAACACTTGTATTTATTCACCTAAATGTGTGAAGGATCATCAACTTAATAGTTAAAAACACAACTCGCTCATCGACAAATTATTACCAGAACATGAAAAGGCTTGGATGAAAAAAGTAAATTGCAGACAACCATCAAAAGAATTGTGCAGTAGTGAGATAAAAAGATTAAAAAATTGAATGGGATCTGTAAATTCGAAATAATTTATAGATTAATATATACAGTAATAGATTTACAATTTATTATGGATTTAATACATCACTATGATAAATAATTAAATGAATAAAGTCAGAGATAAAACACCTTTTAATTTAATCATTATTGTTGCTTGTTTATTATTCTAATTACTTATGTATATAGGTAAAGAAAATTTTTAATATCTATTTATTTATTATAAAAGACATACACCTAAGTGATCAAAAATCTGTAAATGTTTATATTGGACATTTTATTTCTACTTATACTTGCAATTGGATGCTTCAAACAAATTTTTACATATATGAATATAAAGGCAAAATTTGACTTTGAGGGTCAAATTATTTTCGGTTTTATTAACAACCTGCCTTAAAATTTTTCTTAAAGCAGATACATATGATGAAGAAGTTATATCTCAAATTTGGTGGTGGTTGCTACACAGCAAGGGTATCAAATGAGGGGTGAAGACATTCGATTATAAAATTTTACTATGATGCAGGTTGTCCAAATTTTACAACCTCCTATAGATCGGTGAAAAATGTCACGCGACTACTAATACTAATGCTAATAGTAACATTAATTACCTGATTCGGACAATTTCCGGTAGGATTAACCTATTTCGGGAAATAGTAATAGTAATAAAAATAATACGTAGGATTATTCTATCGGAAATTGTCCGATATATATTAATATTAATATAGTTACAAGTGTTCTTATTATGATAAATAATAATAATACTAATACAGAGAAGTGATTGACAAAATATTGACTTTTAATAATTAACAAAATTTATTTTTTATATTATTGATCAAAGCGCAAATACTTTCTTAAATTTTTATATCATTGTCGAGCCTACTTTCTTATTCATTTATATAACTGGATCTTGAACTAATATGTTTGATCGATATACTCCTGTGTTACAGCTCTATCAGTCAACTCTTGGATTTTTATCTCGTTAACAGAAAAAAAAACAAGTACAAAGCAAGTTTAAACAACTTGATTGAAAATCATTTGAATTGTGACTAAGAATAGGTTTCTAGGTGTTTTCTATAGAGGTCCAATTGAAATCCAACACTGTTAATATTAATGGTAACACGAAAAATGACAAAATTGCGATAACAATAGTTTTTATTTTATTTTATTTCTGCATTTTCATAAAAAAGCCATCGATTTTGGTGTGTAACTTGATGTCGTAGAAGCAATTGAATAAAACTCACAAAAATACACTAATAAAATCTCTTACTATTCCCTGTCTTGTGTGTCATTTGGTACCACATCAATTTTAAATATATATATATATATATATATATTCACGATCTACTTCCATCAATTTCATTTACTATTATTACCAATATTACCAAGCCAAGAAAAAAAAAATAAAAAATCAAAAGAATAAAAAATGTATCCAGGACAACAATATAAAAATCAACACGGAAAAGAACAAAATCCGAGTTATCCAGGTTCACAGCAATCAAATCATCAACCACCTCCTACACAACAATATCCACAATATCCACAATATCCACAATATCCGCAACATCCACAACAACAACAACAGCAATACTCGCAACAATCGCAATATCCGCAATATCCAAATTCAACTGGAGGTTTCGTTATGCCACAAGCATTCCCATCAACAGTCGGTGGATATGCGCCACCACCAGGTCCGCCACCACCATTATCCAGTAATTACAATTACCCATCACCATTTCCACAATCAACTGGAACTTATCCACCACCTACTAGTAATAACGGTTATCCATCACTTCCAACGTCTACACAATATCAACCACCACCAGGACCGCCGCCGCCTATTGATAATAATAATAGTAATAGTGGTAGTTATTTACCACCACCTTCACCACCACCTTCAACTCAACCACCACCACCTTATTATCAATATCAACCACCACCTGGACCACCACCCCCAACATCTACTACATCTGCTACTACATCTGCTCCAACATCCACTCAATATCAACCACCGCCTGGACCACCACCACCTTTAACAACTACTAAATATCAACCACCGCCTGGACCACCACCACCTTTAACATCCACTCAATATCAACCACCACCTGGACCACCGCCACCTCCAACATCTGCTACATATCAAACACCAGGCAGACCACCGTTCAATTATCAATTATCAAAATGCAGTGGTAGAAAAAGAGCATTATTGATTGGAATTAATTATTTTAACTCGCCACATGAATTGAAAGGTTGTTTGATTTATTTTTTATTAATTCAATCAATTTAATTTATATTTTATTTTAATAAATATTAATATTGATAATATTCATCATATATATCACACATCCTATTGATATTGTTAAAAGGCTGTATAAATGATGTAAACAACATAAAAAAATTTTTAATAGAGTTGTATAATTTTCGTGAAAGTGACATGGTGATATTGACAGATGATCAAACAAATCCAATTAATATTCCAAATAGAGCAAATATTATAAAAGCAATGCATTGGTTGGTGAATGGTGCAGCTGCAAATGATTCGTAAATATATAAAAAAAAATTTCTTTTATTATTATTATTTATAAATATCCTATAATTGCTTGTGATAAATGTTAATTATCTTTTATTTTTTTAATTTAGATTTTTCTTTCATTTTAGTGGACACGGTGGTCAAGAAAAAGATAGAAATGGTGATGAAGAGGATGGATACGATGAATCTATCATGCCAGTAGATTTTAAACAAAATGGGACAATTATTGATGATGTAATTAATTTTTTTAAAAAAAAAACCATGATTATAAAACTTCATTTAACGCAAAAATATATTTGCATTATATAATATATATATTTAGGACATGCATGCAATTATGGTTCGACCGTTACCACCTGGGGTTAGGTTAACAGCCATATTTGATTCGTGCCATTCTGGTACAGCTCTCGATCTACCATACTTATATTCAACTCGTGGAATGATCAAAGAACCAAGTATTATTTCAGACGGAGGAAATGCTATCCTAACCGTTGGAAAGTCGTATTTGAGAGGTGATATTACCGGAATAAAAACAACTTTGATGTCATTTGGTAAAAAAGTAGTATCGGGTAATAAAATTTCTCAAAGGAATAAACAAAATAAATCAAGTCCTGCTGATGTAATAATGTTTAGTGGGTATGTATATGATTAGCGATTGGGAAAAGGATGAAAGTAGAAAAGGGGAAGAGGGGAAGAGGGGGTTGGGGAATGGGAAGGAGGAGAAAGTGTAGGAAAGGAAACGGTGAAATCAAACAGGATTGGAATGAATGTTGTTGTATTAATTAATTTCTTAAAAAATTTTTTTTATCAGGTGTAAAGATATACAAACTTCTGCAGATACTCATGAAGCGGGACAAAACACAGGAGCAATGTCATACGCATTCATAAAAACGTTAGTTTTTCTTTTCTTACTTGCACCAAATAAGTGTTTTTATCAAAGAAATTAATAATTATTTGAAAACAATTCATTTCAATAATTTGTTTATTTTAGATTAAGATCGAATAGAAATATATCATATCAACAATTATTAAATTATATTAGAGATATTTTAGCAGAAAAATATTCGCAAAAGCCGCAACTTAGCTCGTAAGTAAAATTGTAGATTTACCATCATCATCATTAAAATTACTCGTTCGTTCATTCGTTCGTTTCGTTCGTTTCGTTCGTTTGTTCATCATTCATTCATTCACTCACTAATTCATAAATTTCTTTATAATTAATTGTTTTATATATATATAAAGATCACATCCAATGGACATGAATTTATTATTTATTATGTAACAAATAAAATTTTGGATTAAAAATTAAAATCACAATAAATAATTCTTGTTTGAGCTAATTATTTATTTTACTACATATAAAATTTAAAAAAAAATTATATTATGTATGCATTTTATAATATGCCATATTAATAATGATAAAATATAATGTAATATAATAATAACAATGATACAATCTTAAATAAATATTATAATAATTATAACAATAATAAATATACAACATGTTCTTCGATCATCAATCCATTAATGTAACATAATTGGCAGGAAATTGACCAGTGACACCGTTAAGTTTACCTAAGAATAAAAAGTATAAATGGTACAAATGAACGAATGACAAAAATTAAATTTGTTTAGAATTGCAAATCAACCAAATTAAACATATATCATATATGCACGTATGAATTACCTTCCCACCAACCATCAGCGACATTACGATCAGTTATTTCAATAACATCGCCTTCTTTTATTGTAAGTTCTTCAGGTACTTGAGCTTCATAATCATAAAGAACTTTAACTTTTTGAATAAAAAAAAATTTTTGAATAATTTAAATAATGAAATCGAATTTATTAGATTAAATCAAGTTTTAAATTAAATATTTTTAAGTTAGCTACCAAAATCACTAGATAATGTTTGATACTCTATATATGCAGCAGGAACCAAACCTTCTTGTTCATTAAAAGTAGCCTTTAATTTGTAAAAAATTAATTAATTAATTAAATTTAATAGTTTAAACTTTTTTTACAAAATAAATAAATAAATAAATAAATAAATAAATAAATAAATAAATAAATAATATTTACTTTAACCCATCCATTTCCATCTATATATATATATAAATATATAATAAGTATTTTTTTTTTTTTTTTTTTTAAAAAACCTCTTGTATGAAATTATATTTACCGTTTTGTGCAATAACTGTTATGATATCGCCAGCAGTTACTGTTAATTCAACCTCACTATCAGCAGTATAGTCGTATAATACTTTTGCTAACCATGCTTCACCTTCTTCACCGTCACCATCATCGTCATCGTCATCGTCACCCTTTTCATTAGACGATGATGATGATGATGGAGGTGAAGTTGTTGATCCTTCTACTTTATAATTAGATGCACCTACAAAAATAAAATAAATGAATAACGAAATATATATCGAATAGATTTATTTATATAAAAAATTATTAGAAATTACTGGAAAAAGTTCCCCAAGGAGATATTGTATTTGACGAAAATGTTCCACTATTTACAAGCCCTCTTTTTATTACTCCTTTTTGTTTTGTGCAAGTTGGCGGTACTTTCATCTCACATTTTGCATGACAATTATATCCACATTCTTTATAGTAGTATTAATGTTATTATGAAGTGTAGTTGTAGTAATAATAGCAGCAAATTATTATTATTACAATATGAATTTATGATTTATAATTTATAATCCAAATAATTTATACAACATATAGTATATAATATATATGATAGATACCTTTGCAAGTGAAACCTTGTTTTGCTATTCCCCATATGGTAGCTTGACACAGATCACAAGTTGTGGGTATAGTAAATGAAGCACTTTTGAAATCGTGAGATTGGCTATCATTTCCAATATCTGAGTTAATGAATGAATGAATTGATATAAATACATACGAATCTATATAAATAAATACATATACAAAAAATACACATGCTTACCACCAACCACTTGAACAATGGAATCCACTTCAGTCTGATATTTTGCCTTCATTGTTTCCAATATTGTAACTTCTCGTATTGTCTCGTGTAAATTCTTTTATAATTAACAAATATATTAGTTTATTAATAATTAAAATATATCAAATATTATCAAGATTATAATATACGCATACATCAGTTACAGCATCAACTCCACCAAGCTTTGGATTATTTTCATATGCTTCTTTCAGTGAATCCATTCCGTCGATATGTTTTCTTTTTGTTTCAATTTCAGGAATTAAAGTGTATAATTTTCGCTTTGCTTTTGAAAGTTTATTATTAAGAAACACTTTAGCATTTTCGTCATCAACTAATTCATCCTATAAAGTGGTTAAATAAACAAATATAAATTAGTTGTATACACCAATATATTTTAGGCCACACCATATTATCACATACATTATTACTATGATTGACAGAATCTTCAAATACAAAATCTGATGGTTCCTCCCAATTTTTTTTATTGTATTCCACAAAAAGCTCCGAATCAGTACGACTATCGACTTCTCTAATGACTTGACGTGCTAATTCAAGATGTTGCTTTGACTCTCTCAGCGATGATAACTCATAATCCACATAATCATCCCATATTTGTTTTAATGCATTTATTCTACTCTCATTAAGATCTTGTAATTGCTATTAATAATAATAATGACAACAACAACAGTAATAATAATAATTATTATTAAACATTGTTATTAGGACCATTCATGATATAATAATTAATCACTTACATCTATTAAAGCAGGTATATCCCTGTTATAATATTTTTTTTTAACTTCATTTGCGACTCGAATTGATAAAACATATAAATTCTAATTTAAAAATATTATTAGAGATTTATCATATCAAATACATCAATTAACCACTTATCAACCTACTTTGGAGTTATTCATCTCAATAAGATCATGTTCTGCTTGTTTTCGTAACTATAAATATAAAAATTAT